CTCCGTCGAGGTCATTGGTGATTACACCACGTCCTTCAAGTGACAAGGAGTCAGGAAACGGATATGGAGTCCGCAAGGCGTGAGCAGGGCTCGTCTTACGCCGCTGGCGCAGCTCGCCTTCCTCGTCACCCCATGCGGGAAAGGGGGTGTCAGACTCGTAGTCGACCAGTTCCTCATACTACGAGGTCACTTGGCACCGATAGCGTGCGCGGAGCACGACGCTCGGGCTCATCGAGCCTAGGACTTACATCTCCGATGCCGCGGCCACACGGTCCGACATGGCACCGCGTGCAGAAGACGAAGTTGAGCTCTGCCCGTGTGTGCTAGCGGAACTTGAACACTTCAGTGTCGTGGATACAGGGCTCATTGAGCACGGAAGTCGTTTCGGTGCAACGCAGTGTCTAACGGACACGCAAACCTCGTTGAGGCAATAATCGATTAGAACTGTAAATCTTAATGGGGGAGAGTGTAACGGAGTTGCACATACCCTTGTAACAGGTGTGTGTGTCCATCTGGTGTGACACACACCCAAACGAAAATACGGTACGAGGCTGGATAGCCAGTAGTTATACATGTATTTAGATTTAGATTTTACTATACCTATTTAGGAGAATCTATGCATTTAAAATTAGGCGGCTTTGCCGCAGATAAAAATAAGTTAAGATCGGTTATTAAATTTAAACCGAAAAAAAATAAAAATCAGGTTTGAATTTAAACCGAAGAGTTAATAATTTGCTAAACTCGTACTGGTTCTGAGTATAGAACAAAAGATCGGTGACCTAACTCACGCTTCCTTAAAGCGCACAGCCACGGCAGCGCCGCTGCATCAATTAAACAATTATATACAGTTTCAATTTTGAACGGAAGAGTCTCTTTTCCTGGGCTAACGTTTCCAGTACTCTTTGAGTCAGTGGATTGCGATCCGCTACTGGTTCTTGTATTGAGCGTAATGTCTGTGAACTTAGCTTAGCTTTCACTAAGTAAAGAGCTACAGCCGCCCCGGTACAGACATCCTTGGCATTGGCTTAGAATTGACACCCGCTTCCTCGCGCACAAGTGCAAGCATCTTTGCTCTGAGTGCCTATGTAACATATTGTAAGCTGACGCTTTGTGTTAACACAGTCGATCATTAAAATTTCTTCTTCTCATTCTCGCGAATAAATTCTTATGCTCAACTCCTTCATTCGGAATACATTTCTGAGCAATTTCTATGGCCTGATTAATTTCTCTGTTACAATCATGTCATCTAAACATACTTCAACTGAGATGAGCCTTCCCGGAATTGCTCGACACAAACGCACTGACCCCCTCCGTAGCACTAAACTTCTTTATTTATAAAAAAATAATGTATTTTTTTGTTCCAGGCACTTGATTTTAACCTATATATGTCCCTTTTTGATTGACAAATGACTCCCTAGGCATTGTAGACACCCAATCTAAATTCAATTTTCGTCAGCAAATTGTTAAGCAGTATCCACATTCAGTTATTCTATCTGATTGGAGTATTCGAAACATACTGCAAGCATCATCCGATATTAATTTATGCTGGCGCCACCACGATCCGATAGCGCGATTATTTTCCTCCTTGGCTTTAGATTTCATTTTTGAATCTGATTGTGGGAGAAAAGCTCCGCTTCGATAGCTTCACTCTACTTCGCTGCATCGTCGCTTTTCATTGACTGAGCACACGCAGCAAGTCCCTATCAACTCCACTTCTCACCATGTACGCAAGCATTGCCGATGGGTCGGTCTTTGTCAATTCTCGCACAAGTTTATGTCGAATTCTCATTATCTGAGCTGTTACGTAGCATCAGCTCATGTCTTCGTCTTGTTCGCTCCACATCAGGTCGTAATTCTAACAGAAGTGTTCGTTTGCCTTGGTTTAGTACTTAGACATAGCAAAATTGCGATTCCCTACACCAGTACTGGTTCATGGAAAGAGCGTAAGAGTCAGTGACCTTAGCTTAGCTTTTTCTAAGCAAAGAGCTACGACAGCCCCGCTGCACTTGTTAGCACTCGTAGTCAATCTTGAGTCGTTACGGTTAAACTTCTGAAAGGAATGAAAAGTATTCCTACGAGTCCCAGGGCATGCAAGACGGGCTTGATAAGATGATATTTCTGCTGGGCTCTGAGGGCGTGGAGCACCTCATGGCGCAAGGGACCGAGGACATGAGCGCGCGCATGGAGGCGTTTTCAAACTATGAAAATGTCTGCTAGAGCACTTACAGCAGAAGCTGTCAGCGTTGATTGCGTCCTCGACGCCACCGTCGACAACGGATGACTCCACTCGAGCATGGTGAGCGTTAAAACCTTCGAGGGTAAGGATCGAGAGAATCTCCTGCTCTGGGTAAGATAGGCCAAGATGGCTATGGCATCCGATATGCTCCAGAACGAGCGACAGTTCGTGGCGCTAGCTACCACTTAGCTTGGTGACCGAGCGCGAGCATTGGCTCTAACATGCAGTACTTCGGCTGAAGCGGCGTTCCCCTCCTAGAGAAGCTGAAGTTGCAGCTTTTGCGAGTGTTCTTGCGACCCAACCAGGCATATTGCGTGCGATCGAATTGGTGGACTTTGTCCAAGAGTTGCGGACTCTCATTGCCGGGATGACAGTAGATCCTTACCCCGAAGCGTTCACAGTAACCTTCTTTATGGAGAGCCTCCTCACTAGCGTGGTCAGAATGGAACTCGTAGCGTGTTAACACCCGACGGTGTATTGTCTTTGGAGACACCGATTACCTTCGGAGTGGTTTTCATATGCGCAAGCCGCATCAAGTTTTATCGAACCGACGCCTCGCTTCTAGCCAGTCTGGTTTGTCGCGGGGAAAGGACAAAACTCAGCAGACACGGATCACCCAACTGGGGAAGAACTGAGTTCTCAAAGACGTAGAGGGCATCAGGGCTCAGCCGAAAAGCCCCAAGCGTTTGGACACGCAATGTGTATGCAAGCCGGTCTTGCTGATCGTAAAGGCGATTTTGAAGATCTGTGAGAAGCCATGGAATGTCCTGATCGATGTCGGGGCGTCGGGCAATTAGCTCGAGGCTCCACGATCGAAGGAAGTCAGCTGTACGCCAAGGTGCTGAAAGCGCGGTTGACTGACACCGTCACTGTTTGCTTAGCGACGGGGCATTGTGTCACTGTGCCGTGGGTCCCTGTGGACCTCGATGTCAAGTTTCTTGACGTCGATCGCGTGGAACGCTGCTTAGTTTTAGATTTGGATTCAAGGCATGACCATATCCTTGGTATGGCATGGTTAAGACACCATGAGCCGTGGATCTATTGGAGGTCGAAGACCTCGAGTGCTACGCGCACGTCTCCCAGTGGAGCTTTGGTGAGTTATGGATCCACCTCTGCCAGGAATCAGAAGCGCTATTGGCGCGGACACTGGACCGGGACGGTCAATGTGCTGGATATCGGAGTATCCGGGATGTCGAACACCGAAGGTGTATCGGACAAGATTCCCGAACATGGCTCGTAGACTGAACGTGGAGTGGCACATAACCCACTGAGCACTGTTCAAGTGTCAAAGCAGTTGCAACATGTCTCGAGTGACATGGTCGGACGAGGTCCGAGGCATCTTGGGCAAGGCCCTTCAGATTTGCGTGGAGTCGCACGTTATCCACTGGACGAAGACTGCGAAAATAGCCGCTTTTCGTCGGATGTTGTTAATTACATCAAAACTCCGATGAAGCAGGGAGTGGAGACTCTCGGCGACGCTGAGGCGTGATCCACTGGTCTTGGTGAGATGTGAAACGTTTATAGAGACGAGACGGCGATGCCGTATATTATCTGCAAGACCCAGGGCGTCGACCACGATCCAGAGAAGACGATAGTGCACAGCTATTCACCCTTGTAAGTGGTATGACAGGAGAGAAAAACCGCGACGTTACCATCGAGGATGTTCCCACCGTGGATGCTCTTCTTGAGCTGGACGTGATGTCCTTCAAAGCATTTGGCGGTACCTCGAAGCCAGGATGTTCCCCAAAGCAATATGTTGGCTGTACAAGTACAGTGCACTCGACTTGGTCGATGGGTATTACCAGTTGCTCATGAGAGCGAGTGATATTCCGCTGACATCGATAAGTACACCGCGCGGGATGGCTGGCGATGCCTCAAGGGCTGTCAAATGCACCAGCGACATTTAATTGTCTTGTTAAGCAGTTGTTCATGCCCCACCGGGGGTATGCATAAATATACTTCGACCACATTTTCGTCAGAAACCACACCGTCTATTTGAAAGCCGTGCTCGAGTGCATGCGCTTGAATTAGCGTATGCTAATGCAGATAAGTGCATTTTCGGCGCTGAATAAATCCCCTTTTGAGAGTGCTTCATTGGGAAGCGTGGACTTCGAGCGGATCCCGCTAAGGTCAAGGCCACTGTGTACTGGCCGGTTCCAAAGAAACAAACGGACTTGCGCAAGTGGCTTAAATTCGCCAACTATATCGCGAATTATGCGGAAGTGGCACGGCCACTGTCGAATCTCCCTTGAAAAATTAGCTATTTTTGTAACTTTTCGATGTTGAATCGGATCAAAGCAGCTTAAAGATGCAGTCCCAGGTAAACCTCCATAGGCAAGGCGACTGTAAGTGGGTTGTTGTAAGGTCTAGACTTGTTGCTGATTTGATATTACGATGTGAGGGTTGAGCTGTATCAGCACCGACATTTTTATAACTTTTGGCAACCGTTTCTATGCACTCGCGGATGAAGTGACTCCAAAGCAGCAATCCGGCTCTTAACCCCTTGTAGTGTGTCGATCCAGTCAATTCATTTTCTCTCTTCGAGGCGCGATTGACCATCGACGTTTTAAACAGAAGCGCACAGAGACTTTCGAAAAAAGCCAACGTGCTTTGTCATGTTTACAAGGTCAAAAGAGCTGCCATCGCGAGAGTTGTCCCCATCGGCACTGATCAATGGGCCAGGCGAAAGCGCTTATATGCAAAAGTGCATGTAGCTCGGGGTACTCACCATAATCACAACTAGTGTTTTACAAAATAGAGAAAGCGATCAAATTTCGAGAGCATCTGCAGTCCGAAGTCACACTCTGGAATGGTCTTCCTATCTACATAAATGAGCACATCTTCGAGCATCGATTTCCCTCGGAAAGCAGCAAAGTGGTCTGATGCAGTGGTGTGGGCTACACCGAGCCGATACATGAAGAATATGCATTGTGGGAGTTTACAAAAAGAAGTTTTCAGTATGTTAGTCTCACATGCATAGGCGACTACTTATATAAAGTCACAATCATTATCTGTGAGACATAATGTTGGTTTCCACACAGGGATCTTTATTGGTGACGAGGCTGATGCGTCTGCCGTTCGAAATGGGTGGCGTAAGCCAGTCATTTCTACTGGATAATTTTTCACGAAACTTGAAGTTCAAGAGTTTTAAAGTTCAAGTTTCGTACACCCAAGATTTTGTATACGTTCAAGCTGAGTTATAACCTCAGTACACCCTCATTTGTACGAATCGGGAACCCAAGGCTGTACTGGTGAAACTCTAGGAGCCCTTGGGGTGTTATGCATGTAGTTTGGAGCCATAAAGTCATTTTAATTCAGCTGCACAATTGCCTTTAAGGTGTTACGTCGTTCTTCTTCTCTCGAAGTTGGGATCGTCGTTCTCCCTCGACGTCAGGAATCGCATCCCCTTGCGCAAGTTTATGTTGTTTTGGAGGAACTGTTATGAACAGCGCTCTCTTACATGCAGAGCCTTTATCACTGGGAAATGGGATTTCGGCATATTGCAAGTTCGAAATTTGATTGTATTAGCTGTGCCAGCAACTCCTTTTGTATAAGCATGTTAGATGTCAGCATGAACGGAACGTCTATGCTGTGCGCACTGGGCATCTCCTCAGTCTGTTATTCGCTTCTGTTAACTTGATACGAATGGCCACCATATGGGCAACTTTACGAGCATTTTTCAATGCTCAAATTAAGCTATAGAAATCCATAAGCCAAGACAACACTGAAATCGCACGTGCTGATCCAGCCATAGGCAGTACTTGAAGAAATTGAGGCACAAATTAGACTGAGCTGCAATCTCACTCTGAGGGTTTCATTGAGGTGTGCTGAGCGGCTTCTGTTTATTGAGCCGATCAAGGTCTACTTTGATATAGCTGACCTCGTCGTCAGGTTCGTGAAGATGTCTCTCTTGAGGGGACGGGCACGATGCCCGCTCACGTGAGATATGAATTGATGATATTTTTATTGAAATGATTTTACTCATCACTCCTCGCTTTCTTATCGAAGAAGGCCTTTATGAGATTGGCCGCATTTAATGAGAACGCCCGTATGTGTACAAAAATTTTCTATGGAAGGTTAAGGTAAACTGACACGCCCCAACCCGTCTTGCTCGCTTCCAGCGGGTCGTTGACTTACGTAAAGAGGAGAAAAGGTGAAGTGACATTAATCTTTAGGCCAATAAGCTTCTGACCTCTTATGCCTGATAGGTGGTACAACAGAACTGAAAGTGGATATACAACTATACGGGGTGTATATCTGATACACATTATTTATGTGGTATACACAACATATGTAATGGGACCTGACCCATCACATCGCCCCTCACCCAAAATAGGTTTACCCAAGTTTTTCAAATTTTAAAAGACCTCAAGCTTTCTTCAGCTTTTCTTCCAACTCTTCTCAAGACTCTCTTCAGACTTTTGTTCAGACTTTTGCTTAAATTCTTCTTTCGCTCTTCATCATAACTCTCGCTAGAGTGACAATACTCACGCTTGCTCCACATGTGATCCTCGTCACCATCGAGCTTGAATTTTGTTCCAATACCACGCCATCAGCGCATTTGTGCTACCGGTAACTTATGTCTCGGCGACGTTTTTGAAAGACGTGGTGGACTTACTCTAGAATTTAACGAACTCTTAAGTCAAATGGGTGCGATTTCCCATATGGGTCCAGCAAATCCAAACCAGAGTCCATCCAGAAGATCGACACTCGATTATAAGCTTGCGTCCATGCGACCAAATTAGTGGACATCCACCGTTTGCTATCCGCAAGAACCGCTTCTGACTTGTTAATGTACGCAATATGCGCTTATGATTTGCGCATCTGACTAGGTCTACTCAAAGATGCTCGTGAAATGAGTTCGGTCATTAGTCGACTTCACGACGAGAAAAATCGGGGAAGAAGAGG